AATAAGCCTATCTTCCTTAAAAAATTTTAATTGGATTGTGCAGGTTAAGTAAAAGCCATTTTGAAATGAATGTCTTATTAACTGTTAAAACTCGTCAGAGAGGAAAAAAAAGTACATTCGGAGATACTGTGTTTGCCTGAATAGCTAAAAGTATTAAGAAGCATTTTTTAATTTTGTGTACTTCAGCACAATAATTGTAATTACAACACACTTAAAATAAAGTTATACCACTATTAAAGACTGTGCAAATGTAAAACTATTCAGTTCAGCTAAAGCTTCATTTTAATTTCACAAGGAAAACTAATTGGGGTAAAAACATTACTACACTACATAGTGAGAATGATGTTGAGAGGAATCACTCCTGAAATGTTTCTTAAAGTGTCTCTGTTATCCAGAAAGCAAAATTAGAAACTTTCTCATCTCGGATATTGTGATTTCAACTTGTAAGCAGTACTGACACCCAGAAATAGTTATTTCTTTCTAGAAAACCTTTAGCTTTTCCTTGAGGTCTTTATATTGAAGCAAATTTAAAACTGTAATAATTACATTTAGAAAGCGCTCTTCTTTCATATGTTTTTTGTTACCCTTGATTTAGACTTGTTTCCAGAAGCTCCGTGTATCAACTCCACCAACTTCTCATCCAAGCATTAGCAACATTTTATAAATACAAATGAACGTTTACAGTAGGCTTTTTGAAATGCAGTAACACAATAGCAAGTTAGGGGGAAAGGTGGGGAGAAAAGAGAAAAGGATTTTTCTGTTTGTTTTTAATATGTATTAAATAGATGTATAATCTATGGCACGGAAGCCTTGTTTCCCTGACCAACTTTAGGCATCTGCATGAGTGTGTAGCTTGGAGCTAGTGTCACAGGAGGCTTCCATTTAAGGCAGGGTCTCCTCCAAAATACACTTCAGCACAGGTAAGATCTTGGACACAAAGTGAGTGGGCCTATTTCTCTTTGTTCACTAAAGAAGTAGACTAGACAACTCAGGTATATCGCTAAAGTTATGTAAGACAAATATGGGCCACGGTGGTTCAGGGTCAGAATTCACAAAAGGATGCAAGTGACCAAAGTGGGACACAGAGTGCAACTAGGTAACTAAATCCATGACAGAAATCCCTTGCTACCCTCTTCTAAGCTATCTTTTACTGTTTAAAGGACCCCTATATACCTACCATTGCATTTTTGTGCAAAGCCAGTTTATATCTTCCATTCACTGCTTGACAGAGAATCCAAATTGTTCCCTGTAATTCTTCACGATCTGCCTCAAGTCCTCCTATTTGATGTTTTTATTTTTGTGTACTCTTTCAACTCTTTATTACCTTGTTTTTAATGTTATGCTAATCCTCTAGATAAACTAAAAAGAAATAATTGTTTGATTTTTGTATCACGTCATTGATAAATTCCCTTATAGTAAGTGGAAAATACACACGTGAGAAGTAGAATGAGGTCAGACACCGGCTGACATACCCAAACTGAATTGTACTGGCTCCTCTAATTCCCAAAATTTGTATTTGTGTGACTAAGATTAAAGTGTAACCCTTGTAGGTGTCCTGTAAATCAGTAGAGCTCAGTTTTTGCCCAGTGGATTACATACAGCTCACTAGACCAGTTCAGCCAGGCAATAGCTCACAACTAGTAATACTTTGGAAACAAGCAGATTGGATTTAATTTTTTGGCACAGACAGCAGCAAGCTCTGACAGTCACCATTTTTCTCCTCTAACCTCCAATATTATTATTGCAGGGGATGAAGTAGAGTACACCTGTTATGTGAGAAGGGAGAGAATGGGACGTGCATCAAGAATTAGGTATTGCTAATTGTGAGTACCAATGCTGCTGATGTACTGGTACTAGTCAGTAGGGACATAGCTCACATTTTCTGCCGGAAAGAGAAAAACTGAAACCAGACAGGGTGAACTAGACAGGGTGAACTAGACAGGGTGATCTGTGTGTGTGTGTCTGTGTATACACCTCTATCATGCCAAAATAGCTGTCATGCCATTCTCTAACACTTTTTATTTGTTAGAATTTTACTTACCTATTTGAACTGACTACAAAACACCATAGATGCATGTTCCGTGTCCTTACCTTTCTTCCTTTCCCTCCAGTATCTCTGGGTCCTCCTCTCCTCAACCTCAATAGCTTGGCTCGTGTCCCCTCACTGGTAGGCGTCCCCCAGTTGTGGCTGACTGGCCAAGCACCCGGCCAAACAGACAGTAACTGAATTCACAGTGTGGACTTTCTCCCCATGATGCCACTACTTTGGGTTTCTGTTCTCTCCCTATCTACAGATTTTCATGGAACCTGAGGCATATCTTTGAAACCTCTTTGAAGCCTCACAGTCTAACATGATTAAAATTAACCAACAGGTTCCACAATTAAAAGGATGGACAGCGTGACTGGGTATGGTCAATTTCTTCAGGAGAACAACCGAAACAGGATCTCTCCAACCTAAAAAGTTTACAATCTAGGCATAAGAGAAGAGTGGAAAGATGTGGCTAGACACTGATAAACGGGAGCAAGAAACGCTCTTTAATCTAACATATCAGCTCCTACTTTTCATAGTGGATTTCCCTGCCTCCCTGAGACTACGGCTTCTATTACCATAGAAACAGTATCCTGTGTCACTGTGGACCTTCTGTAGCTGTGTGTTGTTATGGAAACAGTCATCTTAACAGCTGTCCACAGGTTATATTATTTCAATTATTGTATTTGTAAGGACCCATTACCAAACTAACCTGTCAGGATTCATCTTAATAAAAAATAAGTCTTTGAAGTATTTAGCCATTTAATAAATGCCTCAAGGCTGCCCCCAGTTAAAAATGCAGCATTAGTACAGAACGTATATTAAAATTCGCACTGCCCTTTCAGTAATGCCCTGCCTCTCCAAATTGCTACCATTTGCAAAGCTTTTTCATCTCTCCTTCTCAGTCTCTTCACAAACCATGGAAACTGTTTAATTCCCTACAGCCTGTAAGACTGCAAATTAAAACAAAACAAAACTCTCATTTATTTATATTGTACCATCAAAGCTGTAGTATTTTGCAAACAGCACAGAGGTAAATCTCCCTACCTACCATAGAAAACAGAGGGACCTCTGGTAAGGTTATAAGTCAATACTACAACTTTTTTGACAGCTGCAAAAGCAAGAGCTTCATGTTAGACATTGCTCTGAAAACGGGACAAGACACCAGGTTACTCCCTTCTCTCAAACCTGCACCGCCTTAGAGCTGAGTGCCGGCAAACTCATTATTGCTTCTGGGTCAGAACATCGTTTTCCAGACGAGACGTAAATCCGGGTTCCTCAGGGAGGATGTGTAGGCCCGGGGCAACCCGAGCCCTACCCCGGCACGGGGCAGCGCCTCTGCGGCGGCACACCACCCCCCGGGGTAACCCACTGAAAGAAACAGGGCTATCTGGAAAGCTGAAAGTGCTTAGACAAAGAGGTAAATCCGGAGAGCCCGTGCTGGATCCATGCCTCCAGTTTCGGGCATTGGCATGGCGTGTCCCGCCTGCCTGCGCCACTTTAAACCGCCCCCACCCCG